TTGGGCCAGGCCGTGGTCTAGGCAACCCGGAGTTTTCCTCCGTGGCATCCCAATAATTACTCCATTCACACACAGAAGAAGGCAATGGCAAACCACTTCTGGATCATCTGCCAAGAACGTATATGAACAGGTCCCAGTCCGAGAAAAGGATGGAAGGCTCGTGTTCATATGGACCTGTCGTCAGACAGAACACTAAATAAATAAATAAATTTGGACAGCGTGGATAAATGGTACAACTAAGACTCTGTTTTGCAATACGTGGGTGATGTTAACAGACGCTGTGGCAGGGTGGGGCGAGGTGCATAAGTACACCAACGCATTTTTTTTTGTGAGGGTGATGGATTTCTTCACTACGATGTTAGGTGAGCGTCCGGAAGTGGGCTGGACACCCCTGCGGCCGTCAGACCGTGATGTTATCCGGCTTTGGAGAGTGACTCACGACTTGCGTAACCAGGTTACATTGATAGCTAGTGTGCTGCCTGCCACATACGAAATAACAGTAATAGTGAGGAAATGTTAAGTATTAGTAAGCGATTCGCAAATGACAATAAGGCAGAATAATGCACATCGAGTCCTGTGCCTGTAACGCAGGTCACGTTTAATTTCATTGAACCAAATGCTGAGACCCACAAGGTCCTCTGCTGGTCTTCGACAAGGCGAAGAGGGGGAAAAAAACACAACTCGACTTTGAGTCTGTGCTCTGCCTTCCGTCAGTTTCCGCCGTTGACAACCGAGAAATACTGAACAGATGTTGGCAAATGCTGCCTCTAACGTTTCAATCAAGCCACCTTGTCCTCCATATGGGAACTATGATTCATCACCGCTCACCTTCCAGCGACCGAGCGACCGACTCCTTTGTGAATCGGACCGGGTAACAGCTGCACACAGCCTTCTATAAAGTGACGCTATTTATGCCTCACACCTGCCGCCATGTTGCCCAAAGGGCCATGGATCAGTAAGGACATCCAATGCCTGCGAAATTTGAATTAAACCGAGATGGATTAGTCAGAGGGGCTGAAGCACAGGGGTTCGATTCTTGGTGGGGTCTACCCAGTCTCTTAGCGAGGCTCTTCCTGGGACTCGTGGCAGAGCGTTATTACAGTAGCCAGTATCCGTGACGCTTGGTTATGAAGGCGCCGTGGAGACCAATTGATTTTGATCGGACTGTGCGGGCTCTGGTAGCAAGAAATGCGTATGCGTCCTACGCGCAGTTGGTTTTTTCCTATGGGTCTGTTGGTTAACAACCCGCTGTTTCCTGGCGATATCGAAGTGTCCGCAGATGATGTCAGCTGACCGTTCTCGCTTCTCGCAGTAGGATTTCCGAAACAGAATTCCTCTCTGGTTGTGTGGGCTGGGGGAATTCTAGCAGCGATCGCTTCGTGGAAGTTGGTTCAGGGTAGACTTTCCGATGACTGCAGAAACCACATCGTCTTCTACTTAGTCATGGGAGTAACCTTTTTAGTTTTTGTCTTCAAAAATTCATTTAGCTTGAAGCATCCTCAAGCCACAATGAAAGTAACATAAATGTTTAAGGAATGACGGGCTTATTGTGTCAGATATCAAGCTGGTTACTACTTTTGTAGACGTAATAAATACAAACCACGGTGATCTAGCGGTTAGAACGCTGGCCTTGTAATCCTGGGGTCTCGGGTTCGATTCCCGGCGGTGCCCGAATTTATAACTTGTGTTGGGCAAGGCCGTGGTCTAGGCAACACGGAGTTTTCCTCCGTGGCATCCCAACAATTACTCCATTCACACACAGAAGAAGGCAATGGCAAACCACTTCTGGATCATCTGCCAAGAACGTATATGAACAGGTCCCAGTCCGAGAAAAGGATGGAAGGATCCTGTTCATATGGACCTGTCGTCACACAAAACACTAAATAATATATAATAAATACAGAAATATTGTAACAGGAAGAGATAATCTCCGTTGTATGACGAAAAATAAATAGCGACCCCACGTATCTCAGTTCACGATGAGAAATTGAGATGCAGCGATTTCAAATTGTCCGCATGTCACTAATGCAATGTAAATTCACTGTACACGCCTCGTGTTCGTGTTTAAAAACCGTGGGGATAAAACGATAACCGTGGACGCTGCCATCTGTAGGTAAACAAACAGACTAGCTACTCTACATTATTGCGCATGCGAATAGCTATTACAAGACGTAGACATCACAAGTTACAGTCATTATTAATGATCCATCAGCTGTATTCACCACGTGTCTGTTATCGCGTTCGACAGAGCAAGTAATGCACACTCTGTTTAAATGTGCGTTTGTTTCCCGTTATCGACATTAGCGCGAAATATTTCCAACATTACGTCCGAGCGATTTGAGTTAACGACCCAGCAAATCCGCCATGACAGGGAAAAGTAGCTTGTGGTTATAACCACTGGCGAATGCCAGCAAATTGGCGTATTGGAGGAGGCTTGGTGGGGTGTTCGTACTGTTACGCATCAAGATTCCAGAGGAAATGTCGTGTAAGTGGCTGGCATATCGGTTGTGACGTCAATTCTGAATCCATTAAACAGGCTGCAGGGGAGGAAATGAATTCGACACGCCCTCTTCGTGTTTTTAGTCCATTTTGGAGTGTGAGGCGTATCATAACCTCCAGACGTCGTGTGTTTGAAGGGGACATGGAGATGTGTTATAGGTCTTCGCATTTACCGTCTCTTTCTGTCAAAACAGCCGGAGTTGATTAAAAGGAAAGCCAATGATGGCCATGTCAAGTGAGACAACAATTAGTTGACAATTATCAAGTATCCCTCTTGCATCGTGGATCCCCTGCGGTGAAGAATGAGTCAAACCTCCCTGTAAGACAATCACGCGTCTCCATATGGGGGCAAAGGTGACTCATGGTGCATATAACCGGTAAAAAAAATTCAATTAGGACGCAGTTGAGACAAGCTTCCCACCACGTTTGAAATTTTAACTTGTCTACGTGATGATTTTACCACGGTGGTCTAGCGGTTAGAACGCTGGCCTTGTAATCCTGGGGTCTCGGGTTCGATTCCCGGCGGTGCCCGAATTTATAACTTGTGTTGGGCAAGGCCGTGGTCTAGGCAACACGGAGTTTTCCTCCGTGGCATCCCAACAATTACTCCATTCACACACAGAAGAAGGCAATGGTAAACCACTTCTGGATCATCTGCCAAGAACGTATATGAACAGGTCCCAGTCCGAGAAGAGAAAAGGATGGAAGGATCCTGTTCATATGGACCTGTCGTCAGACAGAACACTACAAATAAAATAAAAAATGTGATGATTCTCTTCAAAATTGCGTTCATTGTACTAAAAAAAAAAGACTTTTAACTCTGATAAGTGTTTGAATCCACAACGAATTTTGATATAATGACATCGTAGAGGTGTTACATGAAGGTCCCAGCAATTTCCGTCAACCTCTTATCACTTCTTCGGTACAAACAGAAGATGAGGAAAGTAAATTAGATTTGCAAAAATTTCGTTTCGATTTTCTTACAAATACGGAGGTAAAAAAAAACCCGAATGGAAATGGGCCCTCACATAATACATGTGCGTGTGTTGGGGGGGCTCTCCCGGATGTGCTGGTATTATTGTATGTTCAGAGCTCTTTTATATATAGTTGATGAAAGACTCTCTGGTTTTATATATAGTTTAAAATGTTTTTTTTTAAATCACGCCGAGATAGAGTCCCCCTGTAGCACCCTTTTAAACTGGAACGCCACCCCTCCCACACTGCAGTCCGTATCGGAATGTGTCTGGTTGGATGTTTCAGCGATGACTCACGCACTCCAGGCAAGTCGACTGCAGGGGTCGATATCTTTTCTGCCTACTCCCTTTGTCTCACTCTCACTTCGCCTTTCAAAGGACGCCTGCCTTTTTTTTTTTTAATGTTTCCTGCCGAATATAGAAGTCTAAAAATCCAGTCTTTGTGAACAGAGTACACGAGAGTTAAATTCACGCTGAAATATGAAAATAGCCTCCCCCGCCCACCTTGTTACCACGGAAATGATTATTCACCAAAATTTCCGAAATACTTCCAGAATTCGTTCACCTCCTGTTTATTTTAATTAAACTTTGCGCGCAGTTTCAACAGTGAAAGGTAAAAAAAAAAAATTCGTTCTGGTTTTACTGATGCATGACATTGTTTAGATTTGACGTCAAATGTCGGCCTCCTCTCATATTTTATTATTTTTATTATTATTAGTGTTCTGTCTGACGACAGGTCCATATGAACAGGATCCTTCCATCCTTTTCTCGGACTGGGACCTGTTCATATACGTTCTTGGCAGATGATCCAGAAGTGGTTTGCCATTGCCTTCTTCTGTGTGTGAATGGAGTAATTGTTGGGATGCCACGGAGGAAAACTCCGTGTTGCCTAGACCACGGCCTTGCCCAATTACTAATGAAGTCATTGCAGATCCTGGGGGGAGTCAGTCGGCCCACTGTTCCAGCACAGATTAAAACTATTCAGATTCATGGATATCGCTTAGCAGAGGGCAGAAGGAAGGTCGCGTTGCATCATGGTCGCTTATTTTCACACTTCATGAACAGACGAGACACAAGAAATTCGACCGAGGGTGAGATCTTACGTACTGGTTATCCGTTGTCGCCCATTTGGAACATTAATAAATGCAAGGGAAGGACTTCGATGTTCTCGCGACGGTGAAGGGGTAGCCGCCCATCGATGATGGTATTTTGTCTAGTAACGCCTTGAACATGGAAGTGGTATATTCCTCCGAAACACTAAGTGTAGAGCCCCGCCTCTGGATACTATCCTGTGTAATGGCTACGTTGCATCCTCAATTCCTTTAAAATTATCGCCCGTCCTTCGTCTTGGTATGATGATGATCCAATATTAATGTTCAGTACTAATTTCCTCGGCCAGCCCATAAGCATAATGGTACGGAAGCAACGTCACAGCATCCTTCTCTTTGAGATGGGTGGTGTCATCGAAGGCTTGGAGTGAGCAGGAACATGTTTTATGACCATAAACTCACTTTTGTTTCAGAGGAGGCGCGGAACAGTGGCGCAAGCGTGTTGGTGCACTGCCAGGCCGGAGTCTCCCGGTCAGCAACTATCGCCATCGCGTACATCATGAAACACAAGCTTCTGACCATGGTCGAGGCATATAAGCTTGTGAAGAACGCGCGGCCTATCATATCTCCGAACCTCAACTTCATGGGCCAGCTGCTGGAGTTGGAACAGGGACTGCGGGCCACGGCTGGCACGTTAGGTAACCCCTCGGACCCCGCGGCGGACTGCAAGCCCGCATGTCATCAGTGTCGCTGGACTCATCAGTCCAACGAGGAGGTCTCCTCAGGCTGCAGTGTATAATTACAGCTAGTCCGACGTGGCGCCCGCTAGTCTGTCGAGGAAGGTTGCTCCTCGAACTTGGTGATGATGATGATGATGATATGATGATTGTAATCCACACAGGATCCGTGCCTCAGTGGGTTTATTGCTTGGAAGCACTGAGTTCCTACGCGTGCCTTGAAGAAATCCGGCATGAGCATCTTGGTGACACTTCTGGCATGGCAGGCAGCCTTCCGGAAGGACGTACCCAAATTACGGATTTTAAAACTTGGCCGTAGATCGAACTCTTCATCGCTTGGCAAAACTAAACACAAGATCAGGAACAGATTTTCAGAATTGCAGCGGAAATACACAGTTGTCATTAGACAAGAAGTTTGTCCATTTGAAGAACTGTGTGGAGAGCTCTTGCTAACAGAAGGAACATTCTCATCTGAAGCCCTCAGAAGAAAGTAATAGATGTGATATGAAAGTTCATGATCATTATTCAGGTGTCCTCCGCCGCTCTCGTTGCGTCAGGAGACAGAGTTTTGTTTTAATATGGTCTCCCATGTGGCAGTAGATAGACGAGGGAAAAAATGTAAGATCTTCGACAGTTCCCGAAATCTGTTCCTACTTATATGACATCTAATGGCATGGGTAGGAAGGCTGTAATTTGAATCGATGTCATATAAGGACAGTCTGTCATGCCGTAAGCCAAAAGTTGGAAAGAACTGGATGCCTCTTTAATGCAATGTTTTTTTCTCCCGATTTGATTGTTAAGTGTATGAAACTGGATGGATATGTGTACATATAAGGGATGAAAACTTTTGATCGAAATTTGTCAC